CTTGGAGAATTTACCGTCTGGTTGGGGCAGCAGACTAATAACGTTTTAATATGGTGATTTTCTAACACGGTGGCTAAAAAAGGAGTGGCTCTGGTAAAAGCAATGGTTCAGTGAAAACAGGAATGCAGTAGGCATGAGAAATGTCTCAGAGGTGGATGACAGGTATTAGCTGCTAACAGTTAACATGAGTGGGAGACTGTGTGCACAAGTGAGAGGTCAAGAGAAATGAACCCCACTCAGACAAGTGAGCTGCAGATGCTGTCAGTTAACATGAGCAAGCAGAGATGGGAGTGTGTGAGGAGGATAGACAGCTCCTTACAGGGGTCTCTCTGACTTAGCGCTTTCTAGGTGGCTTTGTCTAGCAGCTTTTAAATTGTAGTTCTATTTCTAGAGCTGTTTTGATATGAAAGACAAATGCTTGGTGCTGGTACAGACACTGAATCCAGGTAGGGCCTGGTCAGTGGGGGATGGGGGAGTGGAGGAGTGGGGATGGGTGGAAGGGTGTTGGGAATGCGGCAGGGGAGGTTCTTGGCTAGAGACTTCCAGGTAGCAAATGCTTTTTGCTGTTTTGGGATCCCATGGGTGTCTTTACTGGGCTTTGGGGTCCTTTCCCATGTCAGCAGAGTGTTCAAGGAATAAAAAAGGATAAATGTGTAGGAATCATTACTGTGTGAGTGTTAGTTGAATTCATGGGGAATTATCTAATAGGTTCTGGAAGCAAGAAGAAAAGAAAGAAGAAAAACTAGATACTGAATTCTGGAAGCATCATCATTTAAGGATTAAGATGGGAACTCTGTGGAGTATTGGGGAGAAAGCTGAGGAAAATCAGTTAGTAGACTGTTATATTAATCCAGTTGAGAGATTATGGGGGCTTTGGCCAGCAGTGAGGCTGGTAACAGGTAAATGCATTTAAGTTGTTTAGAGGTAGAGCCAATATGTTTTCCTAAAGACCTGAATACAGGACTCAGTCAAATAATCAAGGAGAAGTATAAGCTTTTTGGATTGTGGAATTTTACTGATGAAGTTGAGGATGGAGAGACTGTAGAAAATCAAGATCCCATGTTTGAGCGTGTTTGATTGAGATGCATGTTGGATGTCACATGGGGATGTCAAAGGGGCTGTGGCAGGCACAGTTCAGTATTGCATACATTTGCAAGAGAAAAACCAGGACTTACAAAAATAGATGATTTCTTAAATTTATCTGAATACAATAGAATTATTTTTTAAAATAAAGAAATATAACCAAGTCCTCCTGGAACCATGAAATTGAAAAGGATCCCATTCCATGATGGTTTTGGTATCCAGTCGACTGTGACCTCATTGCGTTCTCAGTACCTTCTCAATCTGGCATTAATGAATGTTTTTTCTCTCTTTCTCTCTGGTCCCCCACCAATGTAGCCTATATTCTATTACATAATTTTGGACACATTAATAATAAGCTCAGAGTTAACAATAATAAGTTGGTGTCAAATTAGGAAAGGAGTCAAAGCATTTCCCCTTGGTGTCATTAAATTGAGAGCAAGCCCAGATTTGGATTCTTGGCTTCTCTTCTACCCACGTCTTTCATTGTCCCTTTCTGTCTCTTGTATGAGTGTGAATCTGTGCCTGCTTAGATGCTGTCTTGTGAATCTGTCCCCATGTCTGTGTCTCTGTGTGTACCCATATGTGTCTCTAACAAAGGACTTTGTACTTGCACTTACTTACAGTACAGAAAGCATCATATCAGGGGAGGAGTGAAGGATATTTTACAGAGATCTTTAACAGTTTTATAAGAGATGAAGTCATTGACTCCAACTGAACCAAGCTCACCCCAATAGCAGTTTTACAAACATCATTGTTAATAGACTTATCAACTTATATCAACTTATATTAAGCATTTTTGATGGATATGCATTTTATAAGGCCACTTTCACCCGATTTTCCGTTTCTAGCAGATGGTTATCATAACACATATGCAAACACATGTATTACCTTACTGCAAGGGCATGGAAAAGTTCATAATTTAAGATTATAGCAGTGCATTAGCTTAAGTTGTAGAAGTCAACCACATAGGAAATCCAAAGCGAGTAAGGTTGTTCTCTTAAAGATAGGTTTAAACAGGCTGAGTACACAGTAAGGTAGCAGTCGTAAATGATCTGAAGCTATGTTATGTATAGGTGGCTGTGAGGTTCATCTAAAGTGAATGTAAGCGATACCTTTACCATAGTGCGTACTATATTCTTTCAGTTGGTAACTTTTATTGAATGGTTCTCTCCTGATATTTCCCAGAGTGAGGTTGTTGGGATAACTTTCAGAGTAGACTGAGAAGGAAGAGGTGGTAAAAGTAGGGAAAAAATGAGTTTATAAACTTTGGTGGTAGTTTCTAGATTTACCAAGAGCAGTGCTAGTGAAGTAGGAATGTAAGCCCAGACCAGATGGGTAGACGAGCACCACAGAGACAAGGGAGCTGGACCAGGATGTGCAGCTAGTAAAATGTGCTTGGTGCTGAGCAGAAGCAGAAGGTGCTGGGGTCTACAGTGATGTAAACTCAAGGAATGTCTGTTTGTTGTAGCAAGATAGTTAAACTTCTTTATAGGAACGAAGGCCAAAGTTCATGGGTACATGGTCTATAGGGCTTGGGTCAAGAGAACATTTCTAGAACATCACTGTACCTTGCTTTGGAATGATGTAAACATCATTTTACTAGAGGCAGAATGGTGATTCTAGTAACTTTCTGTTACTTACAGTAGAACTTTTTTATTGAATAAGCAGGAAAAGAAAATTCTGATGAAAAAGTAGATGAATTTTCAAACAGGATTATTTGATTTTTATATTTTAGATACATGAGTATGTTGCTTCCATATCTGATTGTGTACTACATGCATGCCTGTAGCCTGTGGAGGCCAGAAAAAGGAACTGTGTTAGAGGGTTGCTAGCTGCCATGTGGGTGCTGGGAACTGAACTTGACATCTCTCCAAGAACAGTCAATGATTAGTTCTGTCTCCAGCCCTCAAAGCAGAGGTGATTTTGAGGATAAAGGGGGAAAATTCCATTTGTATTTTTTTAAGGATTTATCTATTTACTTATTTATTTAATGTATGTGAGTACACTGTAGCTATCTTCAGACACACCAGAAGAGGGCATCAGATCCCATTACAGAATGTTGTGAGGCACCATGTGGTTGCTGGGAATTGAGCTCAGGAACTCTGGAAGAGCAGTCAGTGCTCTTAACTGCTGAGCTATCTCTCCAGTGCCCCCATTTGGATTTCTGTTTAACTAACTTTTATTGGCCAACCCCTGACTACATCCCATGTCATTCTGGGATCTAGAGATTGCAGAGTGAGTCAAATAGATGCATGTGGTATTTTCCCAAAGGGCTGACATTCTCATAAAGCTCTGTATCTGAAGGCTCTGTTGTGAGAAGAGAGCCACCTGGATTGCCTGCTGATACCCACTAGATAGGCTCCATTGTTGACTCCTTGGGAGAGTAGCCATGCTTTGAGTAGCTATTGACAGGAAAGCACCCCATAGGAACAGCGACAGGACCACATATTTAGTAGCTGGTGAACTTGGTCTGTACAATTTCTCCTTTTGTGTTCCATAGTCTAAACATAAGAAGAAAGAGTATTATTTAGTACAGTGCTTCTCAACCTTCCTAATGCTGTGACCCTTTAATACAGTTCTTCATGATAGTATCACCTCAACCATAAAATTATTTCTCATTGCTACTTCATAACTATGATTTTGCTACTGTTCTGAATGTTAACAGTAGCTCTGCTTGTAATACAGGCTCTGACTTCAGCCCTGCATCACTGTCTCTGGAGAGAACATACCTTTAATTCCACCTGTTTGTTTTTCTGGACACAATGGCTGTTTGGTCTGACTCAGATGCATCTCATCTTTGGCCGTGCCTTGCTGCTTTCTGTTGGTTCTCCCTTGCAATACTGTGTTACTCCGTGAGATCCGTGTGTCACTTGGTGTAATATGGAAGCAGTTTTCATCACACTACTGTATGCTGTGTGGATTTGGTACAACACTAGAATTCCTTTATTATGGTTACACAAATAATTTTTTTCTTAGGCTTCTGGAAAGGAGTCATTGCCTGTGGGATCTAAGGCTCCAGAATGAAGACTTAACTGGGCTGCTGTTTTTGAATATTGAGTTTGAACATGCTTTTCTTCTGAATACTGTTTTCTGGAGTTTTGTCATCCTTTTCAATAGCAGATGGTTGTTCATGCGTTGGCCTGCATATATCTTTCACTTTACTGATAATGTTCTAACATGAGTATAAGTTTTTCTGTTTAATATTTTTAAAACCCCTCTGTTTTTCATATCCAACAAACCCTATGCATGGGTTTTAATTCATTTCAATTGCTATTTCTATGTTTTCACATATTTATTTGCTTTCTGTATTCATTTTTAATATAGTACCTGGTATAAGGTAGTTAGTGTTAGAATGTTAATAATTGGCTCACATCAAGAAACAATCAATGGTTCTGACTTTCTAAGCCTAATTTTACAAAATTGGGAACTATGCAGAGATGGCACCATGCCAGATACTCTGCAAAACTGATTGTTGCAATTGATTTTAATAGGTTATGCTAGCTACACAGAGATACTGCTGAATGACATCTGAATTCTGTTTTCCTGAATTTAGGGGACACATTGACAGCTGTCTCCTGACACAGGCCTGTTTTAATAAGTGGTTTCTAGAATTGAATCATCCCATTTTAGTAAATTGTAATATTGAATTATCAAGAAATGTGGATCATGAGCTTATGCCAGCTCAGGAATGGAGAATTTCTATTTTGTAGTGGTAGACTTTAGGGGCTATTTTTATATCATCTTTAATTATTGTTCAAGAAGAAAGGTATTAGTAAAAAGTAAAACATTCTCATTAACTTCAAGCTTCTGCTTATATAAATAACATGGAAATGATTTCACTTCTAATTGGATAGTATTCCAGGTATTTAACATTCTGAAATGAAAGGTAAATTATATATCTTTCTGGTAACTTACAGCGCTTTGAGCTCCAAGGTTCAGGACACTCCCTGCTTCCTAAAGAGATTATAAGAGTGGAGAGGATGACTGACAACCACGTCTCCCACGCCCACGTGACAATTCAGGTTGCAGGAAAAGAGGTGACCATTAAGGTACTTCATCATGGTTTATTCATCCTAAAAATCTGTCTCATGCTGGCCACTCTTGTGACCTAAGTTAGGCTCTGGATCCCCTGCCAAGTCTTGGGTTCTGCTGTACCTCTCTAGCTCCATCATCTTGTGGCTGTATCTGTTTGGTAACCCAGAGTTGTTTGGGGAAAGTTCAGAATGAGGAACCCTTTCTTACAAATGTGAAGTTTACCTCTGACATAATCAAATTTTGATTAACAAAAATGTTTTGTGCTTTGAGTTCTCACTAAGGAATAGTACTTTCAAATGGATACCCACTGGCAAAGGGAAAACGGGTTTCCTCCAGTGGAGTGTCACTGGTACATCAGCCACACTCCTGGGCAGGCTCCATGCCCAGAAATAGTGGGCAACAGAAAACAAACTCCGTGACATTTGTTTCTTTCTTTTTGTGAGCTCTTTTGTTTGTTTCCACATTTTTTGTTTTATTGGGTTTTTGTTTGTTAAATTTTTTTTTTTTTTTTGTCTTGAGAGAGAAAGAACATGAAGTAGATGGGTAGTGGGTGCGGGGAGGATCTGGGAAGAATTGCAGGAAGTGCAAAACATGATAAAATGTTGTATAAAATTAATAAATATGGAGAAAAAAGACAGTGCTTTCAAACAATTTCCCTAGTAAAGACCCCATCACAGCTTAGGAAGCAGTGTGCACGGAAGCTGTGCTGCAGAACACTGTTAGAGAGGGGACGGGGTGTGGTCCTGGAGCTCCAGCTTTAGGTCAGTTTCATCCTTGTCTTCTAAGCATTGCTGTAAGGGCTCCAGGAACCCCAGAAAACACAGCTTGAAAATGCTGGGCACAAGGAAATAGGAAAGAACAAATGTTTGCCTTCTTATAAGTGACTAAGCAAAGTTCTATTGTAATAAATTTTTAAATAGTGATATTAATATTAATCACATAGCTGTACTTATTCTTTGAGCTAAATATCAGCTATGATTATTATGATCCAGGCTGTCCTTAATTGGATTTAGTGAGTATTTCTTAGATAGTAGGGTTTTTTTGTTGTTGTTGTTTTGTTTGGTTGATTTTGTATACTAGATTCTTATATGCTAGATATAGGGAAACTGTCTTTCACTCCCTCAAAAAAGAAGAGAAACGAGAAGTGTTGTATGATGTGGGTGTAATCTAGGTTTATGTGCATATACAGTGTGTAATGGTCAAGTCAGGTCATCCTTGTAAAGACCCTGAAAGCTCATTGCCTCCTGTCCCTTCCAGTTAGCCTTTATGTTAGTACTAGACACTTTTCTAAACATCACCCAATGTATACATAATATAGAAATGTCATATAGTAACCTTCTTATACACATGATTTTTAAGTTCATGTATGAGTTAAAAATAAATTTAATTTAAAAAAACATCCTTCACGGGAAGGAGAGATGGCTCAGTAGTTCGGAGCTCCTGCTGCCCTTCCAGAGGATAGAGTTCAGTTCCCGTTACCTATGTCAGGTGGCTGACAACCCCCTGGTGCTTTAGCTTCGAGGGGTTAGATGTTCTCTTCTGATCTCTGCAGGCACTCCACACAGACATACATACACATACGTGAAAAATAAATCTTAAAATAAATGTCCCTTGAGAAGAAAAGAGCAATCAAGGTCCAAAGCCCAATGATTCTGGGGAAAGAGGAAAACTAAAAAGCAGAAAGCAGGTGAATTGGAGGAAATATTTGCACAGATAGATATGTGAGAGTGATAAACGAAGAAAGTGGAGAGGAGCTGGGTGTGGCTGTCAGGAAGGAGGAGGAGCTCACTGATGAGAGTCTAGTGTGTGGGAACTGTGGGTGTTGTACTTACAGCTGGAGTCTAAGACAAAGTAATGTCATGCTGTCTAGTATTTTTTTTTTTAATGACCAGTTAGAAAGAACATGAAAATGACATGTTCTGAACATACCTAATGGTTAGGGACTTCAATTTTAGAAGGATGAGTAATGTAGAATTTGACAAGGATCATCAGGTTGGAATGGAAAAATAATTGCATAGAGTTGAATTAAAATAAATGTATGATAGTAAATTTCCTATTACTTATTCTTTGAAAAACGTGAATTTTACCTGCCTTTTTAAATTGACAGGTGCCAGCTGGGACTAGAGCAGTTAACCAGCCTTGTGCTCCTGACCGGTTCATTCAGACTGTAAGTCACAAGCAGTTACTGGCTGAGATGATGCAGTCTCATATGGTGAAGGACATATGTTTAATTGGAGGGAAGGTAAGAATGACGGCTTCATTGTCAGCGTTCGCTCTCAGCTTTGAGTAGACCCATCCCTTACCTGATGGTGTTTCCGTTTGTAGGGCTGTGGGAAAACCGTCATCGCTAAGAACTTTGCTGCTCTCCTGGGATACAGCATAGAGCCCATCATGCTCTACCAGGTACGCCATTGCTTTCTCAGACTTGGCCTGGAGACAAACGTGTTTAGCCCATCAGTGCTTCTGACCTGTTGAGTGTTTGTTGTAATTTATAACTGCAGTAACATTCAAATCAGAGAGCAGTTATATTAGTTAGAGACTTTTGATAGTGCATTCTAGACCATCTGATGTGTATACCAAAGTAGGTTCTGCTTTTCAATAGAGATACATTTTATGAACATGCATCCACCATACACACTGAATCCATTTGTTAGTAATGGGGAAGCCTAAAGACTGAGTATTCTCTGATGCTGAATTCTGTCTTCTGGACATGGCATGGTGCAGTTCTCTTGAGATCAGAGCAGCAGACAAGGCAGCACAAGAGCAGTCCACAAGCAACCTCAGAGCACCACTGTGCCCCCACCCACCCACCCCCACAATACAGGCGTTTACAGTTCTTGGGTGGGAGACATTTCTTTGCTGATGTAGCTGCCCACAAGTATCCTGCCATGCTTCTGCAGCTAACCCTCACTCATGGCCATGTGAATCAATCCAGTTGCTTCTCCTAGCTTTGCTCTATTGTTGGTGCCCTATCTGGGGTGAGGAGACAGTTGTTCCCATCGTTCCAGAAAAAGGTAATTATTATTACATTATTATAGAAGACATGCTATGTAACCTTTGCCCACTTGCCCATAGAACTCACTGGAACTAAGTATATTCACAATGTTGTATAACCATTACCATTTAACATTTTTTACTATATTTGTTTATTTCATGTGTGTGTGTGTATTTTGTATGCATGTGTGGTGTGCATGTGGAGTTCAGAGACAACTTCTGGAGTTGGTTCTCTCCTTCTGCCATGTAGGTCCCAGGGATTGGACTTAGGTTGGCAGGGTTGGTGGTGGGTTCTTTTACCTACAGAGTCATCTTACCAGCCTTAGTTGCTTTGTCTAGGATGGCTTCTTTTCCTCCTCTTCCCCTCCTCCTCCTTCCCCTCCTCTTCTTCATCCTTCTTTTTCTTTTGAATAGAAACTCTAATTCCAATAATTAATAGCACCCAAGTTCCATTCTTGCCTACATCTTGATCACCTCTATTTTACTTTCTTCCTGTCTCTGTAAATTTGCTTATTTTTAGCTACTTCATAAAAATGAAATCAGATGTCTTTTGTCATTTTCTGTGTAGTTTACTGAATTTACATTGTGTCCATATTTATGCTTGGAGCATGTAGCAGGAAGTCACTCATTTTCATGGCTGAATAGTATTGCTACACACACAATATCGTTACATCTTCCTCTGGTCACAAAACTTGCATTGTTCTAGTTTCCAGTTATGAGCCTTGTTACAGGGTTGCTTGCTTGTTACGGGGTTCTGTTAGGTCGTTCATGGATGTTGATCTTTAGATCCTAGGGCATCTGCTCCCCACTGCAGCTGTGCAAGTTCACATCCCACAGCAGTGTTTCAGTCCTCCCATGTTGTCATCAAGGCCCATTTCACCTTTTGGTTCTGTTTTATAATGGCCATCCTTCTGGTTTAAAATGGCAATATAATGTATGTTTGATTTGTATTCCCTAGTGACTGAGGTGTTGAACAACCAATAAAGGGCTCATCCCTGGGAGAGGCTGATTTTCCTTCTACTGGCAGTTACTAGTTGCTTATAGTTCTTTGTGTAGGTATGTGTTCCCCTTCTGGGGTAACATCCATTGATACTGGTATTGTTCCAGTCTTGTTTCTAGGAGAGATACTGCAGACTTCCTGGTATCCTGGCTCTCACAGTCTTTCTGTTCCCTCTTTCTCAGTGTTGTCTGAGCAGAGATTTAGGGGCCGTGATGTAGATATATCCACTGGGGCTTGCTGCCCACAATCTGTCCAGTTGTGATTTTCTGTGATAGTCTCCATTTGCTGTAAAGAGAAGCTTCTTTGATGAGGGTGACTTATCTGTAGGTATAAGATAAGTAAGGGGTTATTAGAATCTAGCCAACTAGCAGCAGTAGATTCTTTTCTTAGGTCTGACTTCACTACCCCAGGTAGATGGCTAAGGTTCCAGTACCAGAAATGATTTCCTTCCTGTTGAGGTGAGCCTAAAGTCCAATTGAACAACTGTTGGTTGCCCCTGACATGTGGGTGCCACTTCTTACACCTTCATGCATATCCTGTCATGCTGGTAATTGTCATGGTTCATGAGTGTTCCAGCTGGCAACACCGAACCTGGAACCATCTAAGCTAGACCATAGGGAACGGGCTTTAAGCTCAATTCAGCTTAAGTCATCCAAGTCATGTGCCCTAAGTGTATGGTGTCTTCAGCTGTAGGCCCACCCTCAACCCCTGATACCATAGGTACCACTCTTCTGTAAAGTGGATGTAGAATCTGTTCTCAAATCTGTGATTGGCAGATGCTGTAAATTTCCTTTTCTCCTTGGTGGTTGTGTACTTTCATGCACAACAGTCTTTCATTGTTCAGTTAAAGTTCAGTGATCATTTTCTTCTACTGCTCATGTTTTTAATGTTCAGTAAATCACAGCCAAGTCCAGGGATGTGATTTTTTTCTATTTCTCCTAAGAGCTTCACTATTTTAGGTCTTAAATTTGAGCTTCTAATTAATTTTGAAAAAAAAAACCCTATATGTCACATTAGGTAGGATACAACTTTGATCTTTTCCAGGTAAGTTCAGCATTTTCCAGAGCCAATATTTAAAAGACCTGTTTTCCCCTTGTTAAATAATTGCATCATTTTTATTAGGGTCAGTTAATCAGATGCACAAGGGTTTCCTTCCAAGCTCTCTGTCCCTAGCGTTGTCTGTGTACTTGGCCGTGCTCCATTATCACACATTGCTCAGTTACCTGAAGTCTCAGAATGATCTGTGAGCTTTCATCTACTGTTCCTTTCCTTGCTCACAAGATTCCTTGAAATTTCATGGTAGGTTTAGATGGATTTTCTGTTTCTGTTTTTGAAGATGAGATTGAGATTTTTGAGAGAAGCACTGATTCTGTGGGTTAGTTAGTTTAGTAAATCCTCCAGGCAATTGAACAGGATTCCTTTTCGTTTATTTATGTTTCCCTTTATTTCTTTACAGTTTTTGTGTATGAATCTTTTATCTCACTTATGAGTTATTCTAAACTGTCTTTAGATGGACTGTTTTGGTGGGTGTATATATTGTATATTTATGCTTCTTATTTTTTTAAAAGAAAGTGTGTAGCTGGTTTCTTAGAGTGAAATCCCTACCCCCCTCCCCTTAATTTTGTGTTTTGTTTTTGGAGATGGGCCTTATTCATGTAGTTTGGGCTGTCCTTAAACTCACAGAGATCTGCCTGTCTCTGCCTCAAGTGCAGGGAATAAAACCCTGTGCATTGTGCTCAGCTTTAAAATGTTTTCTGTAGTACTCTCTCCTAGCACATGCTTTCCTGATGTTGTTTGATGCTACATCTTTGGTTGTACCAGTGTTGGCAGTATCCTGCATAAGGAAGAATTTCTATCTTCATTCTTTGACCAGGTTTGGATGAGAAGGCGATACTGTTTACTTTTATTTTAGGGCAGCATTTGTGTATTTTGCTTATTTAATTATACTTCATAATTACTTATTTTTAATTTTTATTTTATATGTATGGATGTTTTGCCTGCATGTATGTCTGAACTCTCTAAGTGTGCCTCGTGCTGGCAGAGGCAGAAGAGGGCATCGGATCCTTTGGATTTGGGCTTATAGAGAGTTGTGAGGTGTCATGTAGGTGGTGAGAATCAAATCTGGGTTTTCTGGAAAAGCAGCCATTGTGTTTAACTGCTGAACCATCTCTCAAGCCCTATAATTTAATTATTTCTCATACTAAATATATTTAAAGTGTTTTGGGCTCGGAAGATGGCTCACAACGTGAAATGTTGGTCTCACAGATCCAATTGCCTGTGTTCACTCCTTGGAGCCTACCTGAAAAGTCTGTTGTGAGCCAGCTTGGAGTAAGCCTCCAGTGACAGTGACGTGCATCAGCACGGTGGAAGAGGAGAACTGACTCCTGAAGCCATTGTCTAAATTCCATATGTGTACTGTGGAATATACGTGCAGGCATGCACGCCACACACAGTCAGCTACAAGACGGCCTTAACCATTCTTATTTCTGCAAAGTCATGTTTGAAGCTGTTATTAGTGTTGTTTGGTAGAACATTTTGTGAGCTGCTCCCAATACAAGGGATAGTGTTGACGATTCCTTTCATGTACTTTAAAGTTCCTTGTCCCTGTCCTGTGAGTCGACCAGAGAGAGTCTCTACTCTTTTATATAGTTCTCATTTTCCTATTTCAATGAAGACAGCTAAAGGTAGAGGGCAAAATAAGATAAAGATCATTAAAATAATGTGATGGACAGATTCAAAAGATTTAATATTTGCTGCAAATCTCCATAATCTTGAGAGAGATATATGAAGATACATATATGTATAAGAAATGAATTTAAACTAAGATAAAGAGATTAAAATTAGCAGGGATAACTGTGCTGCTTCAGATGCTTGCTCGTCTGCCATATGCATTCACACCTCACCACAGAGACCAGTTGAGAACCTCGCCTCACCATCTCACCGCCCTGACCCCGTCAGCCTTCTAGTTAGTTTACAATAAAAATGAGTCTCTACTAAATACTGAAGGAAAACGGAATTGATATACTTTGCAATACATGACTATAAATATTAGATCACAAGACATTTTTAGGAAGACAGATATTTTTTTCCTTTTAAAGAATCTATTTTTATTGTTTGAGATTATAATTACACAATTTCCCCTTTTCTTCCTCCAAACTCTCCCATATACCTCTCCTTGCTTTCTTTTAAAATTAATTGTGCATGTTTATACGCATATATATTTCTAAGTATAACTTCAGTGGGTATAATTTTACTTGTGTGTATATTTTCTGGACTGACCATTTGGTACTGGATAACTAATTGGTGTGCTCTTCTGTAGGGCACTTCCGTTTCTCCCACTCTCAGCATTCCTTAGTTGCCTGTGATCCCATTGTGTAGGGGTGAGACATCCTGGTCGTTCCTGTCCACT